GGGGGGGGGGAGGGAGGGGGGCCACGGTTATTTATCGTGCGTCAATACTCGAAGATTTTACCTCATTCGAGGCACGTACGTGTAATACTAACTCCGACGGGAATTACGACCGTTCCGCCGGTAAAACGACCGTTTCGTCGACGTAGAGAGCAGGTGCGTATTAGATAGAAGTACTTCCACTCGGTGATTGCGTCGGATCCGCGCGGAATGAATGATGCGCCCGACGAAACGAATCGACCGGGCTTTATTAATGAAACCGGGCGGCGGGAAGAGGGACGGGAGGGAACTTAAAACGTTGAGCTCTCTCTCTCTCTCTGTCTGTCTGTCTGTCTGTCTGTCTCTCAAAATGCATTGTATACGGATCGAATTATTTCGTACGCGTCGCGGATATAACGAAGTTATTATAATAATCAATTAGCTAATGGAGAACAAATGGCCTTTGTGTTATATAATGCTTTAATAAATGGACGCAATCGCTACGTGAGAGAGAAAGAGAGAGAGAGAGAGAGAGATAAAGGGGGAATGTGAAGCTGGTGAAGAGGGAGCGATGAAGCTGATTTTTGCATTAAACAGTTAAGTAATGCAATATCGCACGGTAATCTACGAGCGAATGCCACGGCGATACCGTAAGCTTGCTCTACAGCACTCTTATTTATGATCACCGTCGGTTGCTAATGCCGCCGCATCAATCAGATGTTGTTACTCACTCGGAACTCTGAGCCAGGTGGAAGGTATCAGACGATGCGCCTTTTTTTTTTTCAAGAGGCTCGCGCGAGAACGCAAGGTGGAAGTTCAATCCTCGCACGCCTGTCGCTGCGATTGTCGGACTAATAATGAAAATTCACGATAAAGGAAATGAGGCTCTTCCGATGTGCGAGCAGAGAAAAGCGAAGAGGGGTGGGGGGCAATAAGAGTTCTTGTCCACGGATATTACAGCGCAATAATAAATATACAAAGAAAAAAGTAATTTTAGATGAAAGCTGATACAGTCGAAATATTTATTTACACAATCGTCAAGACACGTTACTGTTTGTTGTTATTTTCCTTTACATCTTAGGTGCATTATCATTCGTACATTTTTGATTGTAGGACCTATGTTACACATGACGCATTGTAACTTTTCTTTTCCTCGGACGATTTTAATATCATCTTACACACATTCACGCACACATATACACATATACGATATAGGAGATAGTTAATTGCACGTTCTAAAAGCGGTGACCTTGAGCATGCCGAGGCATCGCGAAAGAACAATGTAACGATTTATGAGATCGCGCAAGTGCCGCGTGTATTTTCTGCCCAGGTTGAAGCTTGGCCGGAGAATTGACTTTTCGAACAGACATTGGTTACCTTACTATCCGACTTTATAGCCGATATTATTTCCAGAGTGAAGTCACGTTTTACTACCTCGCGTCAAACTACCCTAACTCAGACAGCGGTGGGTTTCGAGATTCTTACTTCATGACCGTGGTTGGAGCGATGAAGACTGCGATTCCGAGTCAGTTTGCAGATTTAATCGCCGGCAGAGCGCGATCGAACTGATATAATATGACTAAGGATAAAAAAGAAATAAAAAAGAAAGGCCGTCTTTCCCATCGATGAATTTTTAACTGCCCCTCCTCCTTAATCTCTTTCCTAATATTATTTATACGTGGAAAAAGATATTGTTCTGTCAATAGAACTGGTCGACTAATATGACCAAGGATAAAAAAGAAATAAAAAAGAAAGGCCGTCTTTCCCATCGATGAATTTTTAACTGCCCCTCCTCCTTAATCTCTTTCCTAATATTATTTATACGTGGAAAAAGATATTGTTCTGTCAATAGAACTGGTCGACTAATATGACTAAGGACAAAAAAGAAATAAAAAAGAAAGGCCGTCTTTCCCACCGATAAATTTTTAACTGCCCCTCCTCCTTAATCTCTTTCCTAATATTATTTATACGTGGAAAAAGAGATTGTTCTGTCAATAGAACTGGTCGACAGAGCCATTGTTGGGAGAAATTTTCTCGGTTCTTTCTTTTTCTCCTCTTCAATGGCGATTTTATTGTAAACTAATGCATCACACGTCGCTTTAATAACTCAAATATTAATTTCAATAACATTCCTACTATTGAAATGAATTTCAATAACATTGCTATTATTGAAATTAGTTAATACGAACCAAGAAGATCTGCTCCAATGATGGCGCCGTCGACCCCAGTTTTCTGTTGACACGACAGCGTCTTTTCCCCGTGCGTCCATTGTTACAACGGAATTCACAGGACGGGGATTTCACGCGACGGGATATTCGTAAATACCCTTTTTACAGTCACGGGCCGAGGTGACTCGGCGAGGGGACGCGATGAAATTTAACAATGCGGCGCGGACCTGCCGAGCAGATTCCGCGTTCCGCCGGCGCATTGCTCACGGGATGAAGTGATTTCGCAGTCAGAACTATTTCCAAGGCCGGGGGTATTCGGGGCAGTGTGCATAGACACGAGGGCGACGACGGTGGGTTATACCTGGCGGTCGTCACCTTGGCCGAAGAGAGGAATGCCACCGGATGGTACGGCCGGTGCTAATAGAAGGTGCAGCGTTGTACTGTTTGAACAATGGCACATGTCGCCCACGCAATTGCGGCCCACCAAAGGGTCTGCGACACCGGCTGTCATAACTCGTCTTCGTGTTCCTCGATTATTAGCGCCGAGCCGCTGGGACTGACCAATTTCTCTCTCTCTCTCTCTCTCTCTGCATCTCCCGCTCCGCTTTCCCTGTCGCACCCAAACGGTCTAACTACACGTATAACACCTAGCGGACTCGAGCCGACTATAAATCGCACCGAACGTGAGAAGTTCAACACCGGACGTGTCCGAAAGCTTAAGTTCCAGCCGATAAACGTAAAAATTCGGCTCGATAACTTCGTAGCCGTCGTTTCATCACGCATAAAGGACGCCGGGGACGGTTTTTACCGCGTGTTCCGTCCCAAGTCGCGAAAGAGTAGTTATTGCTCGGTGTAACCCAGTCAGTTCGCAACGAGTTGCACCGAGAGGAAGAACGGTTAATCTCGCTAAAGTAGCGCGGAAAAAAAAAATCTAGTTGCATCCCACGGGAAAGGGAACAACCGCGTGCGTTCTGGTTGATGGAAGCAGAATTTCCGATTCTTACGAGAAGTTTATACCAGACGATTTTATCATTTTCTTTTTTATTCATCAATTTCGTTATCCAGTTACTTAGAATTCATTTGTACCGCCGTTTGAGAACACCGCCTGCGACGAATAAAAGGAAACGAGCGCGGGCTACGATATCGATAGATTATCGCGAGTTTACTTCGCGCGACTTGCTTTCGTATAATGCAATTAGTTCCCAGCCGCTCCCATTCCGACGAAACAAAACGAAGCAGCCGGCTAATTGGCTCGCGTCAGTGCTACACGTCCCGTGTGACCTTCATTCATTAACGGCGTCGGCTGACGTAACCGGAAGCACGCGCGGCGATGCATCATGCGATTTTTCGGCCTTGTTTCGCCCACGTCCACCGGGCGCGATGCGCGCGTTTCAACGTCGCATTCGCGCGACACACGTTTTCGAAAGTCGATACAAGCGCGGTTTATTACTCGGCGCGCGTATATACGCTAAATTGCCGAAAGTTGTCGGCCAATTTCACTGACGACGCGGGCGCGCGCCAACTTCCGCCTGCAGCCGGAACAACTATGCATGCGCTCGGAAGTTCGACTATAGATCTTTGTTGTTTTTGCGTGTGTGCGCGTGTATGCGCGTACGTGCAACACGGCAGATCTATCTTACACCTAATGCATTCGGTGTCAAGTTTTGCGGTCGTCCGTGTCGCAATTTACACAG